CAAGTCTGGTCTGGATGCGGTACTCAAGTATGAGCTGCAGGGATGCGACTGGATGTGACAGAAGGAGGCTGCTTAACCTGTATACGAGCCCGGTGCTGGGGACATGCTTCGTCCAAGCCCAACCAGATGGAAATGCATTGAACACTGCTGTCCAAAAAGATGGTATAGGCCCCCTTAACTAGATAGAATATGGGGTATAGGGATCTTATCAAAATATACTCGAAGCCAAATTCTATCTACTTAACGGGGACTATACATAGCAAAGCGTCCTTCACTCAAGCACATGAGGAGCTGGCCCACGCTCGGTCCTGCTGCTGCTTATGCCTCAGGAGTCAATGGTCTTGGCTGTTTTGTAGGAACAAGCGCAAGGGCGTCATGTCACCCAGAACCCCAAACGGATGCAAACCGTTCCCCGTACGCAAGCCCATGTTGTACCGGTTGCTGTACCTGCTTTGTAACATAGCAAAATACTGGTAGTGCCGGTAGAGCACTAAATCAAATAGGAACATCCAATCGTCTTCGGATCAAGCTGAGGATCTGGAGGTCAGACATGAACAGCCACAGCTATGTCCGCACCTCGCATATGAGCCATAGTCTAAACTCCTAGTATCCCCCTCCTTAACATCCCATATAATACTCCACTCTATATGACTCTCATTTAAGGAGGTTAACCAGTAACTCATAATGTCTCGAGGCATTGGCTCCTTACTACTTTAGCCGTTTGTGGGAAGGTCTCGGGATCTTATATACGTCGACGTCCTACTTCGAATGCACCTTGGAAAGGCTTGGGGCTCCAGGGTTTAGGGTTTAGGGTGCTCCTGAACCCCTCAAGTTTGTCTCATCAAACCCTGAATCCTGAAGCCTCTTGGCCTTTACCTTCCATTCTCAACCCTAAGCCCTGAAAATGCTAAACCTTAAAAATCCCTAACCCTCAAACCCTCAAACCCTTAACCCTAAAACCCTAAACCCTCAAACCCTCAAAACCTAAACCCTCAAACCCTTTTGCATCCGGGCTCTGCTCAAACCCTAAACCCTACACCCTAAACCCTCAAGACCCTAAACCCTCAAAACCCTAAACCGTAAAATTTTAGACCCTAAAATTCTAAAACCCTAAGCCATTTAGCAGAAACTTAGGGCTCCGGCTCCTGCTCCACCTTCCGCCGAGCCTCTTCTTGGCTTTTCTGCTTGGCCTGCAGATTAATCATAATGCAAACTATTAAGGGGATATATAGGGTTTTGGGTTTAGGGGTTATACTATTAAGGGGACACATAGGGTTTAGGGGTTCTACTATTTGGGGGATATAGGGTTTAGGGGTTTGAATACTGAACATGATGAGAATGCTCATTGAATACCGGCCACGGGTCACAGCAAAATGGCTGCGACTACAAATTAACAAAAGCTCCTTTGCGCATCCTCATTGGAACCGAATGGGAATGTCTTACGGAACCCTTTTCCAATAGCCCCCAAGAAGAGGCCTCCTGATATTTGGGCCCCTTCCTGGGAGACCCAAGAATAAGAAGTAACCCATCTTTGAAACCCCTGAAACCCCAAACCCGAAATAGTAGCTTCCACTTTCGTCTCCATTCCCGACTTGAAACCAACAAAATTGCTCCAAACCCTGATCCCAGTTTCCATTTCATGTTCAATTAGCAACAATGCTTTTGGGCCCCTAGACCTAAATAATGCAGCAGTTTCCATTTCCTGTTACACGTTCTGTTCCCCTTGGTTCTCCGTTAAGTTAACTATACCCCTACATGCCCACCATACATACTGTTGATAATAAAAGTCCTGCATGA